ATTATGCTAGTTTGGATGAGGTTTGGAATATGAATACGATGATAGTCAAAAATGCATTCGTATATGCAGTAGCTACTAATATCATGTTAAGCTATGACATTGACGTAAAACAGATTGGTCAAACTGGAAACAAGCAATCTAAGTCTAATTCACTTGCAAAACGCAAGGTGTTTGGGCTCGTATTTCCTACACCTCCACATGTGAAGCCCGTTGGCTACAAATGAGATTTTGTAAGGAAACATAATGAGAGGAATGAAATGGTGCGATATAAGGCACTCCTCGTAGTGCAAGGCGTATCTTAATGCTTTAGGATTGCTTAACATGAGACTTATTCTCCCGTATTAGATGTCACAATGTTCTCCCTACTTTATCAGTTTAGTAGTTTTTCGAAAAACTAAATATGCAGCACATGGACATGGTAACTGTGTATCTTTACAAGGATCTTGATACAAAAATCGACATGGAAGTTCCTAAATGACTTACATTGACTGTATCAAATAGTTCTAAACTATAAAGCACCCCTTTGATTAGATCAAGTCAGTTACTCTACGGATTGAAGCAATCGGGGCATTGTGGTATAACTATTTGAGTGACTATTTGATTAGTTATGGATATGTGAATAAGGAAATTTTCCCATTCATGTTTATTAAAAAGTCATATTATGGATTTGCAATTGTTATAGTTTATGTTGATGACATAAATCTCATTAGGACTCTTAAAGAGCTTGAGAAAATTATCGCGCACCTAAAGTTAGAATTCGAGATGAAAGATCTCGGAAAACTTGATATTGTTTCAGCATGGAGATCGAGCATTGTTCAAATGGTATTCTGGTTTATCAATCAAACTACATCTATAAGGAGTTGCGATGCTTTAACAAGGATAAAATGAAGCTTCGGGTACTCCTATTGTTGTCCAAATGCTAGATGCAAAACGAGATATTTTCCATTCTAAAGACGATGAGGAATAGGCTTTGGAGCCCGAAATTTCATACCTTAGTGCAATTGGTGCTTTATTGTACTTAGCTCAGTCCACCAAACCAAACATCTCATTTGCTGGTAATCTTCTAACAAGGTACACGTAGACATTGGACAAGTGTTAAAGATATCTTTCGTTAGCTTAAGGGTACTTTAGATTTGGGCCTATTGTATCCATATATGTATCTCATAATAGATTACACCTCCTGGTATTTGGAATGATGTTTGCCTTGTTGGTTATGCTGACGCAGGTTATTTATTTGATCCGCACAAGGCATGTTTTCAAACGGGTTAGCCTTGGAGACACTGCAATATCTTGGAGGTCAACCAAACATAACTTAGTTGCAATTAGGTTCTTTGAATGCACCATGTTGAGATTCTTGCCTTACGTGAAGCTGCTCGTGAATTTTTATGGCTGAAAGATATTGTTAAGCATATTCAAAGAAATTGTGCCTTTCTTTCATCATTGACATCCCCATAACTATCTTTGAAGATAACGCCACATGCATCGAACAATTCAAGAAAGGATGCACCAAAGGAGACAACACCAAGCATATTATGCCGAAGTTCTTCTTCTTCCATCAGCAACAAGAACATCAAAAGATTGAAGTCAAGCATACCCAATCCCAAGACAACCTAGTCGACCTCTTCACCAAGTGAATGTCGAAGTCTACTTTTCTGAAGCTTGTTCAAGGAATTAGTATGTGCAAACTTTCTGATTTACAACATTGTTAGTTCTCTTTAGAATTATGTCAAACTCAGGGGAAGTATCCTGAAGTATACTCACTTGACCTCGATGTACTGTTTTTCCCCTACAATTAGGAGCATTTTCTCCTTTAGATTTTTGCTAACTGTCTAGGTTTTAATAAGGCACCTATCATGCGATGGTCATACCTTTGTGTCATTCAGTAGACATTTAAACATGACTTTACATTAACTCACCTTTTTCCTTATAATATGAGTTTCACCATAACGGGGTTTTGTGAGACTTATTTTCATATGCAAGTTTCTTATTTGAGACTAGGGTGTTACTCTATCAGTGCTGACGAGACGACTTCAGCAACTATCTTTTTAAGATCTGATGTGATTTTTACTTGAGTTTTTACACACTCAAGGGGAGTGTTGTAATTAATATTTAGCACATATTTGATTGTGTAAATCCTAGATAGGTTGAGTTTAGGAATACTCTTTATTAGTGATTCTTTACTATTAAGCTTTGTATTACTTGGGGGCGTGTTTCTTTCTCCTCATGGTTTACTATAAATAAAAGAACTAGCATAAGAGAAATACATCCCACAATTTTCATATGCCTCTCTCTCTCTCTCCCCCTCCCTCCCTCCCCTAGTAAATTGGTCACAACAAGTTTTTCTCTTTTTAATAGAATTTTGCATCTTTAAGATATAATATATGGTAGTTTAATTCGAAATCAGTTTTCTGAAATCAATTATCCCAAAAACTTAATTGCTACCAATATCAGAAAATGAAAATATAGTTAATACGGGTTGGTAAATGGTGACGGGGGCCGCGGCGGTGGTGGGTGTAGACATATATCCCAAAAAAGGAAAAGAAAAAAAAATAGGTAAAAATGTAACCAAAAAAGAAAGAAAAAAAAAAAGGAAAAAACTTAATATAAGTACAATTTTGTGAGCCATTATTAGCGTCATTGTCAACATCAGATTATTTGTATTTTCTTGCCAAATTTACCTTAAATTGACTAATAAAGTAGTTACCGAATTTTTGTAAATTTGTAATTAATGTTAATTATCTTGTTATTAATTATAGGATTAATTCTAGAAATTTAAATCTCTTTTTTTTTTTCTTCTCCGGCTTCCAAACCGTTTGTTTTACTTTTCTTGTTTTTCCCTCACAATATCTTCTCTTTGTGTGTTTTTTTGGCCAGTTAAATGTTCTTCAACATTTGTTGATTGAATTTTCCAATTAAATGTGATATTTTCACATAGATGATCAATATACATTTGATTGGTTTAAAGAAGGAGATTGCATTAGTCAATCTTGTGTTTGGTTCTTCGTCTCCTTATCTTTTTTTTTTCTTTATCCTTTTTATAATATATATATTTTTAATTCTAAAGCTCTTTCTTATTTTCTTTTTAAAGTCCAAATAAATTCATAATGAAGCCGAAAAAATTACAGAAAGCCAAAGGAGGCTAACCAGCATGCGTAGCTAATCAAAGAGAAAATAAGGGGAACATAGCGTGACGTGGTATAAGTGAACAAAACGTCATCCTCTTATAGACTCACTAGCATATGTTCCACACTTTGTGTGTGAAAATAATTTTTATTTTTATTTTAAAATGGGAAGAAAAAAGGGAGAAAAAAAGAATGTGGATTAGGAGAAAAACTTGTATAGGGCTTGGCTTGCCAGTAGATTTCGCTGAATGATACTACAATCCACTTAAAACTTGCCACGTGGCAAGTCTTAAATATATTCTTTTATCATTCTTTTATATTTAAAATTTTTATAATTATTTTTTTAACTAATTAATATATTATATATATTAATGTTATGTTTCCTTTTTTATTTCTTTTCCCTTTTTTTTTTCTTCCCAAATCCCCCCCCCCCCAACTTTTGTTTTGCCGTAGGTCATAGGACTCCCTCCCCTTTCTTTCTTTCCCAGTTTCATTTCTTTCTTTCTTTAAATAAAATAAAATAAAAAAAGTTATGCACCCACTCCAAGTTTATCATGGAAAACAATCAAGTATCTGTAAGCTTCAGCGTCTGAATGCATCACCATTCCGATACCCTAATCCATATTATAAATATAAAAAATCCAAAAAACTTCACCCGAACCCAAAAACCCCCAATTAAAAGAAAAGAAAATAACCCTACTACATCTATATATGTGGATTATTCATGTCACATGATCAAAGCAACTATTGTATAAAGAAAGAAAAAAAACTTACAGATTCTTAGTTGCTTTCCATGATAAAATTGGAGTGGGTGTAAAACTTTTTTTTTTTTTTTTTTTTAAAGAAAGAAAGAAACGGAACTGGGAAAGAAAGAAAGGGGAGAGAGTACTGAAACCTAAGATCTACGGCAAAATTGGAATGGTGGTGCATTCATACGCTGAAGCTTACAGATACTTGGTTGCTTTCCATGATAAACTTGGAGTGGGTGCATAACTTTTTTTTATTTTATTTAAAGAAAGAAAGAAATGAAACTGGGAAAACAAGAAAGGGGAGGGAGTCCTATGACCTACAGCAAAACAAAAGTGTGGGAAGGGGGGTGGATTTGGGAAGAAAAAAAATAGGGGGAACTAAATAAAAAAGGAAACATAACATTAATATATATAATATATTAATTAGTTAAAAAAATAATTATAAAAATTTTAAATATAAAAAATGATAAAAGAATATATTTAAGACTTGCCACGTGGCAAGTTTTAAGTGGATTGTAGTGCCATTCAGCGAAGTCTAGTGGCAAACCAAGCCCCATACAAGTTTTTCTCGTGGATTAGAGAGAGAATTTTCTTTTTTATATTTTATTTTTCAAAATTAGAGGATATTAGGATCATCCTTGGGTGAGGCTTCGGAAAAAAAAAATTGTAAAATTTAGTTTGTGTGAATTTACCTTATTGCCTATGATTTTGTTTTATGATAGAAGATAAAATTATTTTTTTACCTTTTTTTGATTAACAAAGAGAATTTTATTTATGTAGTTCAAATAAAACAAGACAAAATACGAATGACAAGAGTGACTGCCCTTGTTCAGAATGCCAACAAACGAAAACAAGGCATTTTTAAAGCTCATTCTAATTAGCATTTTCTCGTGTTTTCCTTCCCCGATATTATCTTTCTCTACTAAACTTTTTGGTGTTTGTCTACCTATATCACCTTGGTGTCTATCATCCACGTCAGATTTGACATCCACCATTCACCAACCACTTTTGGTACCGTTGCAAACCAGGCATTCCAACGGTCAGAAAATTCAAAATTTAAAATTTAAAAAACAAGTTGGATTTTGAAACTGAATCTAATTGTCCCGTTATTATAATCTCCAACGGTCATTTCGCATCTCCACGCTCTCCCTCTCGATATCATATTCCAGGCTCCAGAAATTTTCACATATTCTAAATCTGTTGAAAAAATTTACCCAGGAAAACAAAGTGAAAGAAATGGAGGTCAAATCTTCTGGTAAGGAACGGAGGAGGCTTTCTTCATCGACACCCCCAAAGCGCCCTCTAACCCAGAAGCCCTCTACATCTGGTACTCTCTCTCTCTCTCTCTCTCTCTCTCTCTCTCTAATTTTGTAGTTTTGATTTGCCCGGAAGATTGGTTTTGAATATCAAGATACAATTTCCATTTGCAATTTCTGTTTTCTCAGTATCCAAAATGAAGCATTAAAAGTGTTATGATTCTTTAGATGTTTTATTTTTAGTATTTGTATCAAGAATTGTGTTTATGTGAAATATGCAGACGAAAACGATCAATATTACCAGCAAGTGGGCAACTCCAATCTGCAGAGCCCCAAGAAACCATTGACAAAGAACTACATGTCACCAACTATTTCCGCAGCTTCCAAATCCAAGGCTACTGCTTTGAGAAAGAACATCTTAGGGGAAAGAAACGAGGCCTCGGACCCCGATTTTTCAAATACCCATGTTGAAAAATCCCATGTAGCTATTGATAATGCTAGTGAGTCTTTGTCTCAAGCCCTGCCAAAAGCCCCTCCAAGTTTTCAATCCCATGATGTTGATGAGACTCTTTCTGACGATTTGTCTTCAAGGCCATATGACCCGGTAACCAATTATCTTTCTCCGAGGCCTCAATTCCTCCGCTACAGGCCGAACAGGCGCCAAGAGTTGTTTCTCGGGTTAGAAAATGGTGTTGGGTTCAGTATGAGTAGAAGTGCTTCGTTTGATTCCCAGAAATCCATTGATGAGGAAGTTGGTGCTGTTACAACTCCTAGTTCTTTGGCTTCGCCTCATCAGGATGGTCCTCTTGAGAAAGAAGATGAGGAAGTTGAGTTGAATGATGAAGAAAATGAGGGAAGTGATGAAGAAAATGAGAGAAGTGACGAGGAAGGCGGGGAAAGGGATGAGGAGGAATGTGAGGAGGTTGAGGAAGAGAAGGGCGGGAAATTGAAAGGGGTATTAAAAAGTTCGCTTCTTTTGTTGCTTATAGTTCTCTTTGCCTCACATATGTCTCCAATGAACCATCAAATACACTTTGAAGGCGTGGAAGATGGGTATTGTGGCATTCAAAACACTACAATAGAAGCTTCATTGTTGAAGAAACTTGAAAGTGGTGGTACTCTCTGGGATCAAAAAGAAGAAAGACATACAGGTTTCGTGGAAATAGTCAAGGGAGCTAATGAAATGGAGGTTGAGGATGTTATCGGTCGAGGTGAAGATACGCATATTGATGAAGAGATCGAGGATGAAGTGAAGGTTGAAGATGAGAACTTGGGAGATGTAGAATTTGCTGATGAGATGAGAGAAGTGGTAGAGGAGCTACAAGCTGAAGAAATCGAAGAAAAGAAAGTAGGAATTGACGGATTGGGTGAAGTGGTGGTGCTACTAGTTGAAGATACTGAAAAGATTTCTGATACCATGGTTGAGAATTCTGAGTCGCAGGGTGCTGGACCTTCCATGTCTGATTTTGATCATGAGAATTTAGTGTTTCATGTTTCAAATGCTTTAGAAGAAGATAAGGTTGGAGGGGAGCAAATTGATGGAATGGTTGAGAAAAAAATGGAGGAAGCAGAAGAGTCTTCCACCAACATGGCAGCTGAACCTGTTATGCCAAAGACCATGGATAATGATACAGGCTTTGATGAGGCTTACGATTTAAAAGCAGAAGGGAACTGGAAGGAGGAGCTGATCAATTTCATGAAATCGAAAACATTTTACACAACTGCTATTGGGGTTTCCGTATTTTCTGTGATTGTTGCATCCTTGGCGTCGGTGTTCCACTTTAAGCAAAGGAATACTACTAAAAAGGATTCTTCCCTGATAGTAAGGCCTTCTGCTAAACCTCTGGTAATAGAGCAGAAGAAAATCAACGGGAACGTTTCTCCTCCGCCCTCAAAGCCGTATTCTGAGACTGTGATTGCAGAGAGATACAACTCGGAACTTCCTAGTACAGGAGACGACAGCATTGAGCATGTTTACTCATCTTTCAGAAGGATGTCTCTGTCTTCCAAGCACTCAACCGGGGCAGTCCATAGCCAGGCACCGACGGTTGAATTGCTCGACGAGCTTGTGTTCGGGGAGGTCAGCAGCTCTTTAAGGAGTATGACAGAAGGTGAAGAAAGCAACTATTCTGTTTCTTCAAAGAAGTTGGGGAGCAAAGCTCAGTCAGTTTCTATTCAAGCACAGCCAGCGGTGTCAGAGTTTTCTTCCATGGATTTGCACTCTTACGGAAGCTTCAGTACGCCTCGGAAGGTCATGAAGAAAAAGGTGAGAACTTTTTGGTTGCAGAAATTTTTTGGTTAAATTGAAGATGTGTTTATATCATCAAAACTAATGATTTCTAGTTGTTCTTCTATGTGTTGAATTAGGCGGGCAATCAAGACGGAGAAGTTACAACTCCGCTGAGGCGATCAAGCAGACTTCGCAACAAAATGGTCACATCTCCATAAATCATCCGGGTGGAAATCTACATTCTGACATGCACAATAACACACAGCAACTAGGTTGTTTTGTAGTTCAGCATTCTTCCACTGAAGAGTGTCTGGAGAGGTGATGCTAGTTAGTCATAGAGAATTTGATGTTTTGTAAGCATTTGGTTCTTCATTTGTATTTCTATATTTTTATTTGAATCAATATGTTTGGTATCTTCCCTTAGAAACACCCCAAAAGTTCTATACAAAAACGCTTCAATGGCTTATAAAACCCACAAGGTACCGCAAGGCCAAAAACGCACCCAGAAATCCAAAACAAACTAATAAAAGCCAAGCGAAACAAATCAACTTGCAGCAAACTACTCAAGTGCACTGCTAGCTGAAAATAAGATTATCGTGCTTTAGTTTAGTCCTCATAGTTCCTCCGTCATTCCGAATCTGGAGCCCTCTTTCGTAGGCTACGAATTGGCGTTGGCCACCATGGGAGCGTGAACAAGTACAGCCACAATGGTTGGTCGAGTGTAGTGTTTTCTACAATCTTTCACCACTTTCTTGTACGAATGTTGCACATCATGATATCTCCATCCACCACTGGATAAAAAATATCCTCATCATTTGGGTCGAAATTTAGCCTCTGAACGACTTCTGTATCATCCGGATACATTTCTTGATCTAGGGAATAAACCTCATGTTTACTCAAACACAATTTGCTACCTCCCCCAGCCGTAGAATCATCATCTCATTCTTTCAAATCCCAGACAAAGTTCTGATATCTCTGTGAAAGTCACTCATCCGCACAACCCCTCCAGACACACTTGAGCACTCCACTACAAAATTCACATCTTTAGGATAATCAAATACAGTGAAACGACATTCATGATCAGCGAATGGATCCAAACCAAGATCCAGAAAACAGCCATCACAGTGACCCGACCAGTACAACACTCCATTGTACACAAAGGCCATATGATAGAGAGTATCATATATAATTCCTTGTGGGGATGATACAACTAACTCTCTCCATTTGCCCGTCTCTGAGAGAAAATCTCCACCTTGAAGTTGTAGAAATGTCCATCAGGATCATAGTGAAACTCATCATTAGGATGAAGAATTCTCACAGCCTTGTACCTATACTTATCATTAAGGTCCACAGTGTCACTCTGATCGTCTTCCTTAAACTAAGGACTGTCGCAGATGAGTCCCATTGGCATGAAGCCCAGGGCGTCTCTATATAAAATATTTACTCCAACCATGTTATCTAGGTTAGGAAGTCATAATGACAAATGCCGAACATGGATAGAGTTTTTTTTTATTTTTTTATTTTGGAGATATCAATTTAAATCATATTTTGTAAATCGTGATTGTTAATAATTAAATCGTTAATTAAGTATTAATTAATGTGCTTAATTTCTATTGATGACACTTATTTACAAATGTGATTTAAAAAATGAGAAATTAGATTCTCATCCCTCTTTTTACTATTTCATTGATTAAAACCTTATTCCATTTCAATTTTTTATCAAGGTCCTTAGGTTTTAATAAATGTCATTAATTATTTCAATAAATAAAATATTTTTTATTTCTAAATATATTTATTTAGTGTTAGAAATGTTACATTTGAAATATTTATATTTATGACTAAATTTTTTTTCATATATATTTTTTTAGTTTGTACCCATTTTTAATTGCAGCCCTTTTTAAATTTGTACCAATTTTCTTTTCATCTCTAATTTGTACCCATATATTAATTTCTTTTTATGCCCATATTTTTTAAAGTTTTATTTGTATTATTTGTACCCATTTTTATTTTTGCTAAATGCACCCGTGCTAATTATATGTATTTATTTTATGTTTTAAAATCTATCATTAGTTATTTTGTAAAATGTGTTAATAATTATGTGGGTACATTATTTTTTACTATAATTTTGTGAAGAACAATATTACTCCAATATTTATTTTTAAGTATTTATTATATTTTAAAAATATTATTTTAATTTTTTTAAATTTCATAATTTGTGGGAGATTAAATGCATAAATGCATAAGTAAAGTCCCTTAAATGATGTTAAGGACCTCGATCAATATATTTAACTAAACAAAGTTTCAGTCTAACAATTAGATTGATCAGGGGCCAGAACCAAAATGACCCTTTAAAAAATCGGTCTACCTACCATCACTCTTTTTTTATTTATCGTGAGGAAGCAACATATGGTTGTTGAAATTGAAAGTGATTCAGTCGTGCTGTTGGCAACCTTAGAGAGCTGTAAACAAATGATATTTCTGCGTTGGGTCCAGTTGTTAACGATCCAATGTTCTTCTTGAAGTCATTTCATCAAGTCAAGTAAGCCAGACGAAAAGCTCAGTTCTTAACGTTCCACCTGCAGATAAAAAATATCCTCATCACTTGGGTCGAAAGGTAGCATCTGAACAACTTGTGAAACCATCCGGATAAATTTCTTGGTCTAGGTAGTAAACCTCGTGTTTACTCGAACACAATTTTCCAGCTTCCCCAACCTTATAATTATGATCTTATTCTTTCAAATCCCAAACAAAGTTCTGGTATCTCTGTGAAAGTGAAAGTCACTCATCCGCACAACCTCTCCAGACACACTTGGTCACTCCACTACACACGTCTCGCCCTCAGGGTAATCGAATACAGTGAAACAACAATCATGATCATTGAATGGATCTAACCCAAGATCCAGAAAATAGCCATCACGGTGACCCGACTAATACAACACTCCATTGTATGCAAAGCTCATATTATCGAGACTATCATATAAAAATTCCTTGTGGGGATGATACAGCTAACTCTCTCCATTTGCCAGTCTCTGAAGAGAAAATCTCCACGTTGAAATCGTATGAATGTCCATCAGGATCAAAGTTAAATACATCATTAGGATTTTTCCTTATAGTAAGGTCTCCTTTCGCAGATGATTCCCACTGGCACGATGTTGAAGCATTGAGTAGGGGGTGGAGGAAGAGCAACCCATTCCATGGTGTACGGATTGCGTATGTAGTAATCATTTTGATAATACCAGCCATTGGCGCACAAAATCAAGTCATCGTACGTGCCTACCACAACTGGCTCGTTTTTTAATCCATGGAAACTCTGGAGTCTTTACAACATAAGAGTTAACACTTCAGATAACAGGGACTGAACTCTGTTAAGAAATTCCTCCCCATTGCGGTCTATCAATGGGCGCACAACCAGCATTTTCTTTTCAATTCAGAGACGCAAAAGGCTGTCAATAAAATTAGGTGTGGAGATGAGAGTGAACCAACGCTTACACACAAACTTGTTTTCAACTAGGGTTTTAAAGGATTTTTATAGAGTCCATGCAAATCTATAGGTATTCAAAAAATCCATAGATTTTGAAAGATTTCCTTCAATAAGAGATTTTGTAGAATTTGAGAAGGAATGGTAAGCATAACAAAATCCTACCTCCACCCCTAAGATTTCTTTTCAACCCCTCACCTTCTTTCTCTCTCTCCCCACACTGCTACTCCAACTTTCTTTCTCAATCTCTATTTTTTCCGAGAAACCCATCCTTCCTTCCTTCTGGCGTCTCAGCCACCCACCACATCCTCTCAATATACAACCAATATATGATTGTATATAATCGTATACAAATATAGCAAAGTTGATCATACCTTTAGAGATAGGACTTGGAGAAGGCGAGAGAGGGGATGTGGATAATTGAAGGGTTTGAGTTGCATTTGCTGATGGGCTTTCATTTTTCCTACCTTTGCAGCATCCATTCTTCTCTCTCGCATTTGTTGATGGACTCCTTCGTTAGGGTTAGGGTCAGGGCTAGTTTATTATAAATAATGTGCTTGTTATTCAGTTGAGAATAGTTAATCACGATGTAACTTTTTGAGGTTTTGTAGCCGTTTCTGCATTCTTGTTTGTTTAATAATATTTTTATTACTTTGTAGTCTTGTTTTTTATTCTTTTAGATCTAATCTGCTTCTGTTTGTTCGTATCAGTTTGCCTATGTTTTTGTCCAGTTTCGTTCCGTGAAACTTTTTTAGTTTTCTGGTTTGAGTAACCCTTTCGTTGTCCATACAACCAAAAAAAAAAAAAAAAAAAAAGAATCTGTTAAAGTCTGAAGCCGGAGTCGCGCCGAGCGACCAGCCGCTGCCCCTGCTGTCGCCCACCGCTGTATTTGTTCCTGTTCCCTCCGCAATGACGAATCCACCACCATCTCACGCCTGTCTTGAACGTCCTGACGAACCCAGTTCCGTCCCGTCTGGCACCACCATCTGAAAACGCCATTGTCAAAACGCTTGCATCCGTCCCGCATACCTGAAACCCCAGCACTGAAGGAACCTGCAACCCAGATCCCAGCCCGCGCTACTGTTGCCTGATCCATCACGTCCTGTCACCAAAATTCGCCCGTTGCTGTACCAGATCACAGCTGCCCGGATCAGGTCACCAGCGCATCATGCCGCTTTCATTTTGTCTGCCCCACTATTGCTGCCTGACCACCCCACTGACAGAACCACAACTGCAATCTGATGAACCCGCGATTTCACTCGCGATCTGACGATCGATTGCCGCATTCATGCAATTGTTTGCCCTAAAGTAATCTATCAACCTTTAAACGTTTCCTCAATAGTATATATGCGTAGCTGACAGTCACCATAAGTACAACATTTTTAGGATCTAAGGCAGTCGGTGTGATAATGATCAAAGGCGGTATTCATGCATGGTAAATGAATGAAAGAAATTGAGGGTTCATCTCATGTTATCTTAATCATTGATTTATTCGACACATATGGATGATCAAATGCTCTTCAAATCGAATAAATTTTTTTAGAGATAACCTTTAGATGATGATAATGAGTATAAACAATTTCAATTACACTTATTGTACAGTAAAATAATGACACATTAGCGGGGAAGAGAGAAGTCCTCATTTCCAGATTGGAAAGAAGTATTGTCATTTAAATCAAACTTTTATGGATGATATGGAGAACCAGATCCTTTTTGGGAATCCATTCCCTGGGGGTGGGGGGATAGTTAGGGGATTTCCCGGATAGGAGGCAAGCAAACTCAATCCGCTCCATTGTCATCCCTATTTATACAGGTTGAGCTTTCTGAGACAAACCGTTAATGTATATTCAATTAAGATTCATCCCAATCTTCTGTCCTTTTTTCTTAGATCATGCTTGGAATCTATGCCTATATTCTAAATTATATACGCAGCTGAAGAACAAATATAATATCTGTTTTTTCTGTGTAAAAGCCAGTAGCAAGGTCCACAGACGGGAGACGTTCAAAATACTAACAAGTGTACTTCCACCCAAAAAAAAAAAAAGAAATATATTAACAAGTATACACTGTGTAGTTTACGTGCACACCGGCACACGTACGTATGTAAAACTACTTTCTTACTGGAATTCGAGGGAGCATATTGTTATTTATGCCGAAAGAGCTGCCTCCAGATCTGCTGGAAAAAGATGTAGTAGTTGATGGCTTCTTACTCTTAGAAATGGTGGCCTTCGGAAGTGTGTACGATCTGTAAGAACTCAAGCCACCGCCATAGCTCTTGCTTGCTTTTATTGCCTTTCTTTGTTTATATGGAGACTCTTTCTTTGCAAGATCTTCAATGCTCTTGGCCTTTGATAAAGATGTAAAGGATTGGCACTTGCCTTCAAAATACTTTGAAAGTCCTCTCCTGTACATATATCATAAGAAACTTATCAAAATGCTAACAAATCTCTTGACATACGATATTCTAAACAATTGGAATATATGGTAAGACATACTTAAATTTGAGTCTAAGAGAGCGATTATATTGCCCTAACCAACTAGTCTAATTTTTTTTTTTTGGTCTACTTAATCAAATGTTTCATACTTTCAATGTATTGTGTGGCAAATGGAAAATTATGATGCTAATTAAATTAGACATTTCATTTTTCTAAAAGAATTGTTATTGGCATTCCAAAACTCATTGTGCACTCCTCACAAGTGTATTTTCCTTTCTACATATAGAAAGTTTATGGTGCAGAATGAGAGTTTTGGGGTGCTAATAACAATTTTTTTTTATTACATAATATAACCTTTTACGGAAATTTGGAAATATATTAATAATATATGAATGCAAAAACTATCCAACATCCAAAACCTAAAACATATACCGTGGTTATAAATTAATGGAAAAGAAATTAGAAATATATTTTTTATGAAATGGCTTTTCCTTTTTGTATATTCTTACTTGATGGGTAGCTGATCCATGAGATCTGACAAGTCGAACAACGATCCATGAGAATGAAGGCAAGAAGAACATGACGACGACATTGATGATGAAGATGCATCATCTACTAAGTCCGATGAAGATGTCGATGATCTGTTCGAAATCGACGTCGAGGATGTTGTGTCGTACATATCATCATGATCTCCTTCCATGATTACCCAGCTATCTTCCCTTTTTGTGTAGTTGTCATATTTTGTGATCGAGCATGGACCTCGAAGCATTTGTTCTTTACTACCTGCACCCATAGATCTTGGTAAAGAAAAAGAGAAGGAGAAGAGAAGAACAAAAGAAACTTATGGATAATAATTCCAAAGAAGTTTCATGTAAATGTATTTAAGTTTGAGCTAATCGGCACATTCTTTTGGGGCATATATGTATATATACAAAGAATATATAACACATGTACATAAAGAGTTTGTGGATTAGATTGCTTGGTTCCTATAAAGGTGTATACCTATGACGGGCGATTACATGGAAATTCTATGATTTTTGGGTAAGCAAGCAACCAAATACACTGGTTTTTAATCTAAAAAGTTAAAAGGATAATGCTTCATATTTTTGGAAATAACGTATTTTCATTGTATAATTTTAAAATTAGAATCGTTTAATTTCTTCATTTTCATTTGAAAATCATCTCCACATAAAAATTAACCAAATCTGACATTGTTTATGCTTCCAATCCAAATGTATATAATAAATCAACAGTGTGAATACCAAGTAACATATTCATGATTGTCCATTTATTTGAAATATTTGCATGACTAAATGTGACATCCCACATCGCCCAGGGGAGTGATCCTTATATGTATATTCCCATCCCTACCTAGCACGAGGCATTTCGGGAGCTCACTGGCTTCGGGTTCGGTAGGAACTCCGAAGTTAAGCGAGAAGAGGGCTAGAGCAATCCCATGATAGGTGACCTACTGGGAAGTTGCTGTTGAGTTCCCAAAAACAAAACCGTGAGGAAATGGTAAGCCCAAAGCGGACAATATCATGCTACGGTGATGGAGCGGGCCCGGGATGTGACAATTTGGTATCAGAGCCTAACCCTGGCCGTGGTGTGCCAACGAGGACGTTGGGCCCCTAAGGGGGTGGATTGTGACATCCCACATCGCCCAGGGGAGTGATCCTTATATGTATATTCCCATCCCTACCTAGCACGAGGCGTTTTGGGAGCTCACTGGCTTCGAGTTCGGTAGGAACTCCGAAGTTAAGCGAGAAGGGGGCTAGAGCAATCCCATGATGGGTGACCTACTGGAAAGTTCCTCTTGAGTTCCCAAAAACAAAACCGTGAGGGAATGGTAAGCCCAAAGCGGACAATATCGTGCTGCGGTGGTGGAGCGGCTTGGGAAGTGATCTGCCCCGGGCGGGGATGTGACACTAAATCTTTGATTTAAATTTTGTGAATAATCATCAAATGAAGATTAAGAAATTGAACTATTCTAATTATAAAATTTATGTGGCGGAAATACAATATTTGCAGTGAGTGAGACATGAATGCAAGTATATTAAAAAATAAATTAAATATGCAATTGACAATTTTTCTTAATTTTAAATTTTGGGTAAATGTGGACCAGTAGCTAATCTATATAACATGTAAGAATCCATGTACTCCACTGTCTCCCAATTATTTTTTATTTTTTATTTTTTAAATAAAATTAAGAAAATATGTTCATTGCCCTGGTTGTTTCCTTTTCATACATTGCCTTATCCTAAGATTCTTCATTATCTTATCACACATGGTTTGAAATAATTGACTTATGTTATGGTACGAACAAAAGAGGATAAGCTCTATATCCCTTTAGCCACCCAAGCAACCACCCACGTACCCACCCGAGTCACCTTTAATTGGACCATATTGTCTAATTTTCAATGATTCTGATTAACTCGTTCTAAGAGTGGGGTTGTTCTAGATGTACCAACATTAGGACACATTGTTTGGATAGGTATGGACTTATTCCAACATATCCCCTTAACCTACTTCCTTATCAACATTCATACGAGTTACTTAATCAGATTTTATTGTTCTTGATCACTTAGACACCCCAATATATAGTTAATAGCTATTAGAGTTTTCCCATAAAAAGGCTTCGACAATTATTTATTAATTTGTTTTCTTTTCCTAGGTTAATTTTTACAATTCAGTCATATTATAACACGTAATAAAATATATTGCTATACCCTAGAGTATAACTCGCCTCTTTGTTTTCTCTTGAAAAGTATTGTCGGGGTGTGATTATTTACATCTTTCTTCAATCAAGGGTGAGAAGAGTATTGAGAGTTTGAAGATGATTTGACATGTAAGGTTATCTCACATTAGACATGGGTGAACCAACAAAACACATAAAAACTTGTAGGGCATAAATAGTTATTTCATATTTGTGCGTACAAGTCATATAATATTAAAATTTTTAAGTGAACATGTTTAATAAATTGTGGGGTGTCTGTAATCATCCTAAATATTAATGTAGAATATATAGGGATTAGGATCAGAGAGCGCTCATTTTTTGCACACATTTTAACACTTATTTTGTAAGGCTCACTTTGTAACATTCTTTAAGGATCCAAACCACTTATAATTCAATAATTTAACCCTTTATTTTTAAGGTTTTCTCTCAAAGATCATTTTTACCAAAAAGTCATCAACGCAAGAAGCCATATAAATGTTCGATTAAATGGTAGTCATTTTAGTGTTTCTTTCAATCACTATATTCGTCTATTTTCTTCACTTTAATTAAACGCTTTTGTGGTTTTGAATTTGTCTAACTTTCTGTAACAATGATATATAAATACATGAATTATAATATAAACTATTCAGATCACTAAACAAAGTGTCACTTCTTGTGTCTCATCACATGAGAAATCAAGGTCCTTGTAAAATTTGAGCTCCATATTTATCTTGATAAGGTCAATCGATATAAAAGAATTATAGATAGGACTTGACGGGCAAAGGAACCTTCTCACATCAACTTAGAATTAGTCCTTCCTTGCGGCCGTGGCCTACCAACCATTATCTCCCTCCCCTTTATCCATCCATATTTATTTTTCCACCTTCAACCCAACCCACCCATCAATATCATACGTTTACGATGCTCACATGGAGTTAAGGGTTTCTACTAATTTATATTATTTTGTGTCTATCTTCAACATATTTTAAGTGCGTGGGAGAAGTAGTCAGTTTCAAGGATGAAGTCAGAATAATTTTTTTTTTTTCACGAACTAGCTTGTATTTGTTCTATTTCGTTATTTGCTACTTACCCATGGTGAATAAGGTGTACCTTTTGAGATTATGGCACTAAATTCAGTAACGCAACGTAATGCATGACATGAATCAAGCACACGAGTCAACTACCGTATAATTCATTTTAGCATTTTGTCGAATACTTGGATCACATTGCTCAATTATGTCAACAGATGGGCACAGGCCTGCCAAGAGGAGATGAGTTGGATATTGACAAGTTATTCTCCAATCTCCACCGAGGCTCGTTTTTGTTAAACTAGCCCCAATACTTGGTTGCGGTTCGGAGTCTATTATACACTAAGATTTTCTGCCATCGCAAATATAATACAAGAACATTTCTCCTTTGGCATAGAAAAAATAATTTTTACCACATCTTAATAAGGTGAAATCCAAGGATACTCAGACATCAGAAGCAAATAAAAAGCAAAGTGAATAAATACACAAATTAAGAAAACACGAAAATCGGAGAAATGAACAAATCCTATAACACCAAAGGACAATCCTTCCGTCTGCACACAGTTATTTTCAGTAACACTGCTAGCAGTGCTAGTTCAAAACCATATAACCAACAACTGTATGCGAGCCGAAAAGGAGAGACTGAGAATATGAAAATCATGACGATGATATGAGTTACAGGCCCTGATCAATTAGGTAGTCTCCCAACCTCTCCACAATTATATTACATTGTCCTGGAGTCAAGGGCTCTTCACGTATACCGAAAACCAGAGCTTGGCCGGTTTTCTTCACGGAAAAGCCACCAGAGCCCTGGACAGGAATCAGATTAAACTTTACTACTGTCTGAATGACGCGATCCTTTTAAAAGATCCAGAATGTCACTAACATATGGACCAGAACCACTTTGCATAGACAACAAGCAATATCATAAAGGCACATGAAAAGGGCAATTCAGTGGTTGCAAGTGTACATGGCTCCATCTGCAAAGTTATGGACCTCATAATTCATGAGGGCATCCTGTTGTTGGGAAGAGTTTGGTGCTAAACATTACAGAAGACAAATCATATGCAAGTACATAACCATGTGTTTACGTAATTTAGCTATGTGAGACTATTATCAACGATGAATTGGGACTCTTGAAGCTCTATTATAAAACAGGGAACCCAAAAAGAAATCTGAGTACACAAAAAGAGGAATATTTAAGGTGCTTCACCTGTAGTTGTAGGACTCTTGAAGATCTATTATTATTCTATTAAAGCGTTGACCCTAAAAATTACCTAGCCTACGTGGCTCGCAGGCCAAATAATTAATGAGCTAACTATGTCATTCGGTTGAATGCAGGGCGTATCAACTCGTTGGCTGAGTTCGGCTGGGGAGTAAAATGTATGTGGCATTGGGCGTTCTGATGACTTCTTGATCTCGCGACTGTGGCCAAGGAAGGAAAAGTCTTGGCCTTTAGGTTCTAGAGCCTGAAGACAAGGTTGCTAATTCTGTGAAATTCAATATCAAATTCGACTTTCAGTGTGCCAAATAGGGTTGGGCACGGGCCGGGCCGGGCCTAATTTTGAAGGGACCGGACCGGACCTAGGTTCAAAGGGAACGGGGCGGGCCGGGCCGGGCCGGGGATTACATTTTCCAATATAAGAACCGGACATTACCCGGCCCGGTTGAAACGGGCCGGTTCGAGCCGGGTCCACAGGTCCTTTTTTTTTTTTGTTTGAAAAAAAAAAATTGTACGGATTGCAAATTGCAATTTGCACAAAAACTGCACAGATTGCAATCTGCACAAAACTGCACAGAATCACAGATTGCAAAACTGGACAGATTGCAATCTGCACAAAATTGCATAGATTGCAAATTGCACAGATTGCAATCTGCACAAAACTGCACAGATTGCAATTGCAGAAAGTCACATACTGCATTTATGCAGATTTTGCACAAATTCACCATTATTCACATCCAATCTAAATACAAAGTCAACATCCAAGTTCATAGATTAACAATACATCCAAAATAATAATATTACATCTTCCAACATCTAAAAATCAAATCAACATACAAAATATCCGAAAATCCAAGACATCCAAATTCCAAGAATCAAATAATCCAAAACAACATAAACATGACATCCGCAATAAATTTCAAATTAACATCTAAAACCACATCCAAGTTCCAACGCCCAAGTTCCAAC